AATTCTGCGGCCGCTTCGAAAAGCCATCAGGCGGCCATTAAACCATGATTCATGCAAATCGCTGCCACAAACAAACACGGACCATAAATCACGCGAAATTAGCCCCGCCAGCGCATGTATACGTGTGGGGGGCTCAATTATTCATGACAAAAATTGAATGCACGCAAATAATGAATCAGCCTGCGGTCACGCGGATTCGTTTGTCCTCCATTTGATTAATCAAATGAGATCCGTTTCAGACGCAACTGCGCTTTTCTCTAGTATGATTGTCGGTCGAGCTGATCAATTAATCTAGTGGTGCTCTTGACCAGCTGGCAAACACGTCACAATCCAAACAGGTGTTTCGAGTTTAAATTAAAATGATAAGTTGGGTGCTTTAATTTGAAAAAAGTAATTAAGTTTATCAAAACAATATAAAAAAATTAGCTAGTTTTACTTTTATGAAAAAAATTTAAGAATAAGTTCTGGATTTAAATGTCAGATAAAAAAAAATCGTCCAAGAAATCAATAATAAAATTTGTAAATTTATCAACGAGTAAAATAAATGTGAGGAGAATAAAAAAGGAGGTGTTTCATTTTTATAGAATAATAAGGCTCAACCAAGGTTTGATGATTGAGATTCACGGTGATTACAATTTTATAAATAAGCTTTGCCTCGACGAGTTTTTATTATGGAAATGAAGAAATGTAAAAAGCCCAATTTCTTCACGTCCATGATCATCTCCTAGAGTGTCTTTCTTCAGACGAGTTTTATTATTTCGTAGAACAAAACAATATTCTGTTTAAACATGTTTTGGTTTACTTTATTTACAACCAATAAGATGTCATTGATTCCAGCAATTTAGCATTATAATTTGTATTACTTTTAATTTGGTACAAATAATAATAGATTTTCAGACCCCTCGCAATTTCGATTTTGCGATTCCGTCAGAGAAAAAGGGTCAGTGGTGTGACTGCGGAGAATTAAGCGGGCCGTTTCTCTTCGGAATTGGACGGAAAATTGCATCTGGGACGGCGCCTCTCGCGTCTTTTAAATATTTAGCGGCGGCATTGTGTTGATAGCCGGGGCGGCTGCGTTTAAAACAAATGGCCTCCCATTGCTGGTGCCTGGGTGGTGAGAGGGGGAGGCGGTGGGGTGTCAGGCAGCCACCAGGCAGGCTAATGTAAGATGATCTGTGAAATATCGCCGAGATGTGTCTGGCATGCAGAACCAACTTTCGGCTACCTAGCGCGGGCATTTCGTTGACGTCATTCGTTTGTGGCGCAGCAAAATAAAAAAAGGAAAAGGTTTGATTGAATTTCGGCGCCTCTTTAGCTTGCCGGCAGAATTTCGGACCCTTTATTTAGAGAGGGAGCGCGGTTTGCACTCTTTTGATGTGTGCTGCTTTTTGCAGGGAGGAAAAGGGCGACCGTGGGAATGGTTTCAAAGCGTGCTATCAATCGTTTGTTTGCGCGGAAAGCTGCTTTGGCGACTTGACAAAAGTAAAAGCCAAATCCGAAATTCAGTTTTTTTAATCATTCGAATTTTTAAGAATTGATGGAAAATTTCAACAATTGACTTTGTAAGACGGATTTTTTTTAAGGAATATTATTTTACTCAATGTAACGATTAGCTTTTGGGAACAAATATTTTATTTTTATTCCTGGAGAGTTTAAAAATTAATTTCATGATTATTTCAAGATTATGAAATTTCTATTTTTAAACAGTTCACACTTTCCTTGATTTCGTGTCAAACTATAGATACTGCAAAACGACGAGTGTGCGCGCAGCACAACAGAATGGTGGCAGAGGTTGCGTGAGTGCAATTAGCATGCTAACGACGCAAAGCAGCTTATTGGCCCTTCTGTAAAATCACGTTGTGCTAATTTGCGATTTTGCTTCAATCTATTATATAATCTGACAGACGCTAGAATGCCGCAAATTATGTTTTTCTGACGCAAATAGATTCATGATGGAAAAGCAATATGAAAAGTGGAGAGACGGTAAATTTTGCGGTTCGAATTAGGTTTAAAAAGTATCTGGATTTTCCCTATTTATCCTGTCAGAATCAGCAGAGAGGAAATGTTTTAAAATGAAAAGTGTAAAATGATATTTAAAGTGATAATAAAATTAAAGTAATTGCCTAAAAATAAAAATAGACTAAAGATACTTTGCATTTTTTTTTTAAATAATGCGCAACCACACAAAAACATTACAATGAATTTTTTTTAGCATTAGATCTTTTAGCTTCTTGTTTTTGCATATTCGAAGAAAAATAGCTGTACAATTTTAACATACATAATAGCTCTGCTGGCCATTGTGAATCGGCCTTAAAATTAAAATTAAACCTATCACTAATCAGTCATTTGTTTTTACCAATTTTGTGACATCCAACTCTGCTAAACCCCGTTTGCATTTGCAAATTTCAGCACATGCAAACTTATCGCTCGGAATGGTCGGGTCAGTTTTGAACAGGTATTATACGCTCTTGAGCGTTTCCAGTCGCTGCACACAGGCAGAAATTCAAGGGGGCAAGTTGTTGTGGCGTGATGGAGTGTCTAAAAACTTGGATGAATATTTTAAAGTGCAGCCAGTCGGCGTAATTTTGCGGAATTTCACTCGCCTGCCTTCCTTTGCTTGGAAAAGGTGCTTTAAAACACTCCAACGTCCGAACAGAAATTTCGGGTCTGCCCCGCCTCGCCAATTTCGCACATGCTGATCAAAGGGCAGTATAGAACGCTCATGGCCAGTGCTGTGGTAAATCCCGATTAAGTGAGCCAAACTGATTTCTTGCACCCTTTTATCATCACCAATTCGCGTTCATTTTGCAAATATTTCGAAAATTACTCAATTATTTCTTTATTAGTGATAGAGCATAAATTAATTTTTGCTTCATAAAAATAATTACAAAACCCACCGGGGACAAGCAGAATAAAATTCAAATTAGCGTGAATCAACCCAAGAAGATCTACGACAAAATCTTCCTTCTTATTTAAAACCTTTTCGTACACAGATCAGGGAAATGTAATTTTCACGGACGCCGATGAAGAAATAAAAACGATTTGTAAGGGCGTTTTCGCCGGCTGATATTACAATAATGCCCTCCGACTTCAGGCAAGTGGATTTTGTGAAATTCCTGCCGGACTAAAGTTGCTCCGTGCTGCTGGCTGGGCGCGCAAAAAGTTGTCTGACGCGCGTAGTGAATATTTAATGCGAAAAACAAAGAGCCCTGTCGGACTTTGGACCGCGTCCAATATGTGCGTCGCAGCCGCAAATGTGAATGAATCAAGTCAAACTTTCTGTACAAATGAGCTCTGCGCGTACAAACATAGAAAGTCATATCAGTCTTTTTTACTTCCGAATCAAGAACTGTATAAAAACGCCAGAATAAGTCACAGTTGAAAACCGAAACCGTTATTTCAGTAGAAAAGCTTGTAAGAGAAATAATGCAGTTTTACACTATTTAGTGAAGTTAAAAATTCATTCGTTGAATTTGAGCTTCAGATAAGTTGCATAATTCTTTAGAATTTCAGTCAGTATTGTACTTCAGTTCTAAAAATATCCGCATTTTTAATTTTTAAATTATTTTTTTTTTCATCATTGTTATACAAAGTTTTTTTTTAATCTGTATCATTTTGCGAAACGAAAGTTAAACATAGAGACATAAAAAGTAAAAAGCTGGAAACGTGTGGATTTTGCAATTTTTCTTTAATCAAACTTCGTTCAAGAAGTGATCGGGCGAAAATAAACGATTCTCATACATAAATCCGCAATTTCAATCATTCTAACTGTTGAAATTAGAATAATTTTGCATGTAAAATTTGGCTCATGCAGGTGTCAAAAAAAACCTTAAAGGAGGGCTTACCTATCCGTATCTCCTGCATTTCCACATTCCATTAAGCTGTCAAAACACACTTGCAATCGGTGGGCCGAAAATTCGGTGGTTTCGTCGTCGAAATCGGCGATTGAAATTTCGGCCAAGGAACATTCCATGCGCATTCGCCATGTTGGGCCGCTCTTTTTTGAAGCAGGAAAGACACTCACTCTTTCTCTCCCTCCTGCTGGCTGGCGGCCGCTGCTGCTCGGTTCTCGAAGACGAGAGCGAACAAGTCTGGACAGCGGCGAGAGACGTTTCGCGAGAGGCAGGCAGAAAATTTTTAATCAAAACGCGCCGATTGAAAATTAAATTATAACGCGTTTATTAATCAGCTTCATATTTGCAGCGTTGAACGATGATGAACCGACGTAACATTCCATTTTTTATATTTTTATATTTATATATTTATATTTTATATTTTATAAATCTGCATTTGGAGCTGAGAAATAAAGCATTTTATTAAATTTAATATTTCATGTCAAGAAAAAATTTTAAAGATAAAAACTTACATAGATTTATGTAGCCAATTAAATTATCTTTCTTTTTGTCATACTGCCAATGCCGTCAGCTCCAAATGCTGAAATATTAAATTTAATAAAATGCTTTATTTCTCAGCTCCAAATGCAGATTTAATTAAATATAAAAAATGGAATGTTACCTCAGTTCATCATCTTTCAACGCTGCAAATATGAAGCTGATTAATAAACGCGTTATAATTTAATTTTCAATCGGCGCGTTTTGATTAAAAATTTTCTGCCTGCCTCTCGCGAAACGTCTCTCGCCGCTGTCCAGACTTGTTCGCTCTCGTCTTCGAGAACCGAGCAGCAGCGGCCGCCAGCCAGCAGGAGGGAGAGAAAAAGTGTGTGTCGGAAGGCTTTCCTGCTTCAAAAAAGAGCGGCCCAACATGGCGAATGCGCATGAAATGTTCCTTGGCTGAAATTTCAATCGCCGATTTCGACGACGAAACCACCGAATTTTCGGCCCACCGATTGCAAGTGTGTTTTGACAGCTTAATGGAATGTGGAAATGCAGGAGATACGGATAGGTAAGTTTAATAAGTTTTAATTTTACATGCACCGTTTGTTGATTAACCAGCATGGTTTGGAGGTATAAAAAAATGTAATTTCAAAGTTTGGTACTCACGTCTGGTCATGTTGGGTGCCTTTTTGAGCTGCGGGCAGACTTTCCAGAAGCCGATCTTGAAGGTGGCCGTGGTGGCGATCTCGGAGTTGGGCAGCCGCACCGGCTCGCGCGTATAAATCCACACGTTGCTGAGGAAGGCGGCCACCAGGGTGGCCGTCGAGGCGAGGCCCAGCAGCAGACTCAGTCTGGACAGCTGCTGGGCGCCGGAGGGGCGCCGCTCGCGGGGCCGCGACGGACACATGCTCACATGCCCCACGTGCGCGCGATCGCTTTTTTCGTGCCTTCACCGGCGGCGGCTGTCGTGAGTCGTGATGGGCAAAAGTGGATAGGGGTGCTGCGAGCGTGTCAGAGGCGGTCGACGGAGATCTCGCTCGGCTCGTGGCCGCAAGGAAACTGGAACTGGAGTCGACCGGCGGCAGCGCGGCCCGGCCGACGACGGCGCACGCCCTCTCCAACCACCCCCTCCAACTATGAGCACCCCGCCAACCCTGTCTCGCACCCATAAAGGTAAATACCAAATATTTCAAATATTTGGTACTTTTATGCTCGCACCTTGCTCTCTTCATAAATCCTCAAAATTAGCTTCAATAGCTAAATAAAATTTGTAACAAAATGGCTGTCTCAGCGAGGCACTGAAATTTTACCAATATTTTGTTAATTTTATAAATTTCATGCCGGATTTTGAATGGCGGTATTCTTGAAACGGCTATATGCATAGGAAAATTGATAAACACTCGTATGTATTTTTCCACTGAGGAACGGAATATTAGAATAAATAAGGATTATTTTTCTATCCTTAATTAAAGCTATGGGAACCAATATTTTTATGCTACTTATATTTATTTTATTAAAAAAGTTACAATTTTTGAGATTTTATAATTAGCTGATAGGTTGCTTTGATAAAATAACCGTTTTTACTCTGTTACTATACTTCAAACAAAAATCTGGCCAAATTGAAGTGAATTTATTTTCTTTAAATGTTAAATTTGCAATAGTTGTATGAATACTATATAACTTAATTATTTTTGTTTTAGATGGGATGTGGCTATTATTTTATACAAAATTCCGCAAAATTCTCTATTTCCAACAAAAAAAAACACAAATTTTTTGTTTTCAAATCTTATGAAATTACTTCGCCATTTAAATAAGACAAAAGAATATGTAAAAATATTATTTTATTATCGGTTCTGCATTTACTACTAAAATTAAATCAATACTTAAGCTAATTATAAATTAATCATCCAACTTCCATTGTGCGTGCCTCTCCAGGCAAAAGTTTAATGATGAAGAAAGTTTTGAGTATGAAAGTGCGCGGATAATCCTTTCTCGTTCACTCGCAGAATAAATAAGAGTGCCAAGACATGGAAGTTTAATATGAAAGTCCTTTGCCAAATCAACCAACTATACCAGCTCTGCCTTTCCTCAACAGCGAAATACAGAAAGAGAGCTCGACTGAAGCAAAAAAGCCACTTAATTTCAAAGATTTTCTTCTGTCACTCACTTTCTGCGACGCGTACCAAACTTGCTTTTTGTTCTTTGAGATCAAAGTTTGAGACCAATTTTAAAATTATAATGAAATCCGTGAGTTAGTACACCCAACAAAGCTTAGAGCTGTCACCGCTCTAGTGTAACGTTATGGGAAATTTCTTAGAGCGGTGGCCGCTCTAGTGTAACGTTATGGGCTTTTTCTTAGAGCGGTGGCTGCTCTAAGCTTAGAGCGGTAGCAGCTCTAGTGTAGAGAGTTCACTGCTCCAGTTCGCGCGGCTACAGGCCTGGAGATCGTTGGGTGTAGAAAAAAAATTCATAAGAAAATTTGCAAAGATTCTGCTTTTCAGATTATTCAGGTGCAACTTTTCCCACTTCTTTAATTCTAAAATTTCTAACATATCATTTCCTTTCAAGATTTCAACTACTTGTCAAACGAATTTTAAGTCATACACAATTTGCATAACTTTAAAATTTAAATAAAAAAGATTAAATATGAATATTTCATTTATAAAACACCGTGCTTGTGCGATATTGGGACAAAGTAAACTTATAAACCACATTAAATCTATTTTAATCAATGCAAATGCATCAATATAAAATTAATTTTAATCATTTTAATGATTTGAATCAGATGCATTCGAAGTTCAAACCGGTGCTCAGGGCCAGAGTGCACATGATGATTTGCACAAATAGGGCGACGATATAGATGAGTTTGTATGTTTGTTCTGCTGATCTACATGATAATAACAAACGAGAATTCTCTACCCTACCATAATCGCAATAATTACATTTGCCCATCGTGCACGCGATGAGGCCCCGACATTAAAACTCACCCTCTCTGTGCCAGCAGCTCTGCCGCGATTATTACTGGGGGAGATTCAAAAGACCAAGCTCTACCGGTATAAAAGATAAACCGGGATAAATCAAAAGGATAAATTTTATCCCGCTGTCCCGGGATAAATATTTTTTTTCCACCTCCAATTTTTTGTTCTCAATTCAATTGGGATGGGATAACTTTTTCTTAACCTGCATTAATGGGCGATAATAATTAAATCAGCTGGTTTTTTATTTTGTGTTAGTAGTTAAATTTAGATGGCGGTTCAAATTTGTTCTATTTTTCAGACGTATCTTTGCTAAAAATTAAAAAAAAAATCTTAGCTGCCTGTGGTGCGAGCAGAATAATTGGCGGATTTATGCGACTGCCGAAAAAGGAAAAGGTCCGCCGGGACATGCGGTCGCCGATTATGCGACCAAAGTTTGCGCCAAATTTAGCCACGATTTCCTCGCCTTTCGTCAGATTAATCACAAGCGATTGACGTCAGTGTTGTCATGTTGAGATTCAGTTCATTTCATGTATCAAATCAAGTATCAACTCTCTTTCCGCGGTTCTTATGTTGTTTTGAGAATGATACAAATAGTTGATAATTAATTATGTAATTGAAGACTGAACATTACGTTTGAAGAACTTGTGCAAAGCAAGAGAATTGAATTGAATTTCAAATAGAACTTAACTTTATTCAATAAAAATTAGAATTACACAAATTATGTCCAAGAATTATTTCAGCTTTGTTTTTTTTTTTTTAAGTAAATTATATACATAATATAAAAGAAAACTCTTCTCGAAATTGGAAAATATTTTTTTAATAAAATAATTCAGAATTTTTTTTCTTTGCCAACAATTGAAAAATAAATAAATCTATTTCATGGAAATTAAGAGATCGGGCTTTTCCTCGTTGCAAAAAATTCGTTTTTATTAAAAAACAAACGACTCTTCCAGTTTCGATTTCAATTTTCCTGATTTTTTTATTTTTCTTGCTCATGAAATAGGGTCGCAGACCGTGACCGAAACTGGTAGAGCCGTTTGTTTTTGAATAAAATCAAATTTTTTGCAACGAGGAAAAGCCCCATCTCTTCATTTCCATCTCCTTGAGTGTCACCTTCTTCAAATCTATTTTATCCTAAATATTATTGAATGTAAATTAGGTTCAAGTAATATTTGTCTTTGTTCTTTTATTTGTAATTTAAAATTTGAATGAAATCATTAAAATATGAAATTTAAAAATTAAAAAAATATTTTTTTTCCATTAATTATTTATTACCTTCTTATTCATCAATCTTTGCATTGCATTTGACTTGTTGTGAGAGAATAAACGAATTGAATTGAAGAAGCATCTGAACAATTAAAATATTAAGTTGATAATTTTACATAAAGTGCACTTTCAAAGTTCGGTTCAGATTCAATTGAATCTCCCCCATTATTATTAGCAATGTGCGAGATGATTGCATGCACACATCAGCAGCCAAGAGACTTTCGCGCAAATATGCATGCATTAATCAGTGCACCGGCCAGGCTAAATTAATTAATGTATCACCCTGCTCAGAGGCGATAAATCGTGTTCAGTCCTCGCCACTGATAATCGGTGATTAACCGCTCAAGGTAATTGCGTTTTTCATTCACAGTCTAATTGAAAGTGGTTGGAAATTTATCCAAATCGTTTTGATTATAATTAATTACACTTAAATTGTGCTCTGCGGTCTGCGTTTTAATTAAGGCTGATGCATGCATAAATATCGGGTGCCATAGCTTTTAATTTTCGTTGTGTTTTTGAGAGCTCGACTAATCCAGCATAATGCATTTTTTTTTTGTGCCCACAAAAGAGCTCTCAGGCCTCTCCGAGAGTGGGGCTCGCCAAGAAAACAATGAATAATGAATGAGCCGCTGTAAAAATGCTTTCGCCGGCGGCTGCGATGGGGCCATCGATAAATCAGTGTCTCTCCGATAGCCGAGGTTCATTCTCAGATTCTCTTGGCAGCAAGCAACAAATTATTATCTTGACACTTAAGTAACAAAAAATGTAAATAGACGTTCTAGTGCAACGGTGTGGAAACCTTTCTTACATTATTTGTCATTTTATTAAAAGAAACGACAACGTCTTGATTACTTGATGTGCACAATATTTTAAATTAAAATTTCACCGAAATATTTTTGGAATGTTTAGTTAGTTGCTTTTAATTTTCTTTTATTTATTTATTTATTCTCCATTCAGATACAATAAAATGCTTTAAATTAGAAGTTATCCCATTGCTTATTCATTGCCAAAAGTTTGAAAAACATTTGAAAATAAATAGTTTGAGAAGAAAATGCCTTTTTTGTGTGTATTTTTGTTAATTTACACATATTTAAAAATTTATTTTTAATTTTAATTTTGGAGTAATATTTATTTCAAATTAATATACACCAAAAAAAGGTGATCTATAATATTAAACTATAGGTTAACACTTTATTCAGACCCTTTTATAAATAAAATTCAGAAAAAACATTGAATGATAAGTTAAATACGGACTCACTTTATTTAAATCTCATTAAAAACAAAATCATTACATTTTAGCAATTTTAGAATCATCAAAAACTGAATAAATTGGCATCAGAAAACTAAATTATATTTAATTTTGTTCTTCAACTAGAAAAACAAAGATCAAAAATATGTTTGCCAGACCATCTATTTTCATTTTCTCTTTGTTACTTTGAGAATTTCTCTAATCTGCCGAGTTTCGAGGGATTTATATCTGGTTTGCCAGCGTCAAAAGTCATTTGTAGGGGGGCTGCTTGTGCAATGTACGCGTGTTGTTGGTGCGGTGCGCGCCACTTTATATCCAATAATTCTGTCATTGGCATGAGGGATGGTTTGCTTTATGATGACAGCGCCCGTCAGCGGCGGCCCTAATTCAGGTGCATATTGCGCCCGCTCGAGATTTATGGCCGGCGCCTATTGCGCGTTATAAATCTCGACTCCTCCGCAGCAGCAGCCGATGTATTAATACGACGACACCGCGCTATTGTGTTTTACGGAGCGCCCTTGGTCGCTAAGGCCGCTTTCAATTCGGCC